CACATAGTAGGGGCTCCATAACAATCTGCTGAGTGATGGGTAGTTTCCTGCCACAGGTCATTGAGGGGGAGCGTGTTAAATGCAGATTCCTAGGCCCGCCTCAGACCTACTACTCCTCAATAATAATCTCTAGCGACAGAGTCCAGGTGACTGTCATGCCCTCCAGAGTTGGAGAGCCACGGCTGTAGTGTGTGTCTGAGGAAAGCATTCTCCTATTACCGGAAGGGAAAAAATGCTGATGTTTTTACTTTTGAGCATTTGTCGGGAGTGACTGTAATATTCAAGTCAAATTTCTGCGGAGCCTGGAGGAGCCAGGGCTTCACCCGGAGTCTGCGCAGGGTGGACTTTCACTAATCTCGGGAAAGGCGAGGCCCATAAAAAGGCTGAGGAGATAGCAGTTGGGCCACACGGAACCCAGGCTTGGCGTTATTATTGTCCTTCACTTGAAAGTCATAAGTAAGAAATGTGCCCCCGCTCTTGGGAGTGGTTACCTGGCGTGAGGCTTTTCTCAATCCCTTTCCAGGGACTGTGCCTTGGACCAAGCACAGACCTGGGTTCAGATCTCAGCGTGTCTCTTAACTGCTGGGCCTTGGGCTAATCTCCTTTTAAGCTTTAGCTTCCTCAGCCACAGGATGGACATGCTGATTCCTCGAGATTGTCAAAATGATAGGAACTCAGGTGTCTGGCACATGCCGCCCAGGACTGAAAACACGGCACAGTTTAGGCCGCTACCTATAAACACTGCCTTCCTATTCGGGCTGGAAGGTTCAGTAGAGGGTCATTTAGCCCAGCCCTTTCATTTTCCAGGTAAGGAAATGGCCCCAGAGGGGGTAAGCAAATTGCAGACGATGGCCTAGCGCCTTAGATTTCTTGAGAGCTTTTCATCTCAATGAAGAATTTCCAATTCCTCCAGACTAGGGGGGGTGAGGAGGCTGGTGCTGTGGGTGGCCTTGGTGAAGGAATTCCTGGGCTAAGAGGCTTCTGAAAAGGAAGCTAGATATCTCGGGTGAGGTTCTGCCAGCCAGAAGTCCATCCTGAGGACATAGTGATTGAGGGGAAAGTTCCTGAAGCTGGGCAATTTCTGGCTTTTCTATCAACCCCAGTTTTAGACAAACACCTTCGGGTGAGCACTGTTGAGGCCTTCCCTGGGAGGCCCTATCCCATCTGGCAGCTCTGCAAGGTCACGGCCGGAGATGGCTGGCCTTGGGAACCCTCCCAGTCTGGCCTCTGGGCTGTAAGGGCCACAACCTGCGGCTGGATCTCATAGAAACATCGCTGGAGACGGTCCTGCAGGGCTCCGACTGGTGTCCAGGGGCTTTCGGAGAGTTCTAGTCCTTACTGCTAATGGCGATGGCACTGGTGACTGTGACCGTGGGGATGAGAATTTCCTCTCTGCCAGGCTCAGAGTGAAGCAATTTGTTTTACACGCATTGCTTCGTGCAAATCTCCCAAGACCCCCGGGGGGAGGAAACAGGGGCCCAGAGAGGTTAAGTAAGTGACAAGGGCATACGGCTGCTGAGCATCAGGATTCAAATCTAGATCTCCTGGAGTCCGAGGTAGCCAGCAGCCCGTAAGCGCTGGAAGGAAGGCAAGGAACACCGACCAGTGTGCTTTCAAGGGATACATACTGTATTTGCCACTGTTACAGATGAGGAAACCGAGGGCCAGAAAGATTTGTGTATTTCCCATGAGGTCAGGCACCATGCCAAGCAATTTCCATATATTATTTGCTCAGTCATCATAACAGCCCCATGAAGTAACTCTACGATCCCCATTTGTGCAGATGAGGAAACTGAGGCCTGAGATGAAATGACTTGGGGTTCAACACTCAGCAGTCTGTCTAGAGGGCCCGTGTGCTGAACTTTCTGAGTTGCCCAAGCTTGGAACTAAACCCAGCAGGGCTGGTCCAGCACCGAGGACTCCTGACTCCCAGGCTGGATACGAATGCTCTGTTGGATCCATTGTTCCTTAAAAGTGCGCTGGCCTAAAGCCCAAAGGGTGAAATCACACCCTGCGGTTCTGGGAAGTTCAGATGGGAGAAGGAGGCTCTCTCTTGCCCCGTGTTCAAGTCTGAGCAGGTGTACTGGGACTCTCCCCGATTCTTCCTCCGGCTAGGAAGGAGTCCACGCGAGGGCAGGGTGGGGCAGCCTGGGAGTGGAGGTCGGGGGAGAGCAGGAGGCAGGCATGCCCAATAAACCTGGTCTAAATCTTCCCGCCTTCCTGACTTTATCCCGGCCGTGCCCTCATCGCCTGCCTGGCAAACAGCAGGCCATGATGATAGTTCAAGGCTGGAGCCAGGAAGCCCCGGCTCAGGTTCTGGCTCAGGCACTCAGAATAGGTGCACTTTTGACTCTGGGCAGGTGTCTTATCTATACAATGTGTGGTGCTCGTAGTGGGTGGTGGGAATCAAAACCACCCTGGTTTTTAGCTAGCACATTATTTATGAACTGCCCACTCTGTGCCAGGCAGTGGAGACATGGCCAGTGGAGAGCCCTGTTCAAGCCCTGCTTCCCCGGGTCTTGGAGTCTAGTCAGGAGAGATAGGTAGACCACATTTTCACGGAAACAAATGTAAAATGGCAAATGGGACCAGTGTTTTAAATGAAGGTCTCCGGAGCTAACAACAAAACAAAACAAAACAAAAAACAACATGGTGGGGGTGGGTGGGGAAAGAAGGATGGGGTTGACAGCCTGAGGGCAGTGCGGGGAGGATGCCCTGAAGATGTGGTTATTAGGTGAATGGTCACTGGGCAGGGGGTATTACTGGGTGTGTAGAGGCCCATTATGAGGTGGTTCATCCGAAGAACTTAGAGAAGGCCGATGGCCTTGGGGAAGTCAGCAGAAGCCTGGGCACTTCAGGATATTGTGGGCCCTGGTAAGAGAGGTTATTGATTTTCTTTTATTGTTTTAGAAGGGGTTTAGGGGATTGAAGGGGGGGGGGGGAGAGAGAGAGAGAGAGAGAGAGAGAGAGAGAGAGAGAGAGAGAGAGAGAGAGAGAGAGAGAGGTCAAACGTAACAGAATGGAAATCAAAACATCTTCAGTTTAACGATAAAAATGCCACCCCCTCTGAGGAGCCTTCCCTGATTTCTCCACCTTTGAACTACGGTATCCCTCCTTCTCCGGCTTTGGAGAAACTCAGGTAGTCTGGTCCAGGCTTTGTTTTTCATCCACTGAAGCGTACTGCAGCTCCAATCGCGGCCCTCGGCATTCCCGGGGCCTCAGTTTCCCCATCCGTGCAGAAGCAGGTTGCTGAGATGGACCCGCCCAGCGCCAAGGCAACGTGATTCGCTCTGGCAAAACCTGGGGGCTGCCCGCATTGCTGCGCAGAAACCGGGCTGCAGGCTGGGGGCCCGCCACCCCGTCTCAGGAGCTAAGGTCCGGGCCGGGGGCTGCCGGCTAGGATCCCGGTCCCAGACCCGGAGCCAGAACCTGGGGGCGCGACCCCCGGCGGGCTGGGGCTCCGCGCGGCCCCGCCCCCGCAGCCAGCGGCCCTGCGGCAGCCGCGGCCCGAGCTCCGCCCTCCGCCGCCCGCGCGGCCTCCTCCCGCCTCCCCCCTCCCTCCCTCCGCCGCCGGCTCGCTCCCTCCCCCGGCCGGCTCGGCGCTGACTCCGCCGCACGCTGCAGCCGCGGCTGGAAGATGGCGGGGAACGACTGCGGCGCGCTGCTGGACGAGGAGCTCTCCTCCTTCTTCCTCAACTATCTCGCCGCCGACACGCAGGTACGGCCGCTGGGGCCGCGGGCCCGGGCCCGGCGTGCGGGGCTGCGGGGGTGGCCGCCGCCGCAGCCGCGGAAGCTGGGAGACAGCGGTGGGCGCATCGCGGGGATCGGGGTTCCAGGCTGCAGAGCCCCGGTCCGTGCACCCTGCGAGCCTCTCAGCCAAGGAGGCAGGGGGCTGGCGCCCCCCCGCGCCGGCCGGAGCGTGGTGGGCGCCAGGCTGCGGAGGAGGGTCTAGCCTTGGTGTCTTGGAATCCGCCCGCCCCCCCCAGCTCTGCTGGCAGGAGGGGGGTGCACCGCGTTTCCTTGGGGAGGTGGAGCGGCGCCACGGTGTGGGGGACCCCCGGGCCGGCTCCGGGTGCGGGAGGCGCGCCCGCAGGCTCCCGGCACTTGCTGCCGTACTTTCACGTGGACTTGTGGCCCCGGCACGGGCGCCTGCCCCCGCCCGCGGAGTCACCTGCTCCTCCAGGCTCCGGTGCCCCCTCGACTCCCCGTCGGCCCAGGGCTCCCCACCGGCACCCGCAGCGCGGAGTTTGCAGCCAGTGGCCCGCTGACTGCGCAGGGGTCCGAGGGGCACGTGGACATGCGGGCGGGGATGGCACCTTCCTGGTGGCGCTGCTCGGCGAAGCGCCCGGGGTGGTGGTGGTGGTGGGGAGGGGGCGGGGGACGGCAGGATGGGGGCGGGATCGCTGTCTGGGGGCGCCTGGGTCCCCCCGCGGCGCGCGGCCCCGGTGCGCGCTCGGCGGTGCTGGGGGAAGGGAAGGCGAGGCGGCCGTGCCCGGCGCTGGGAGCCCCGCCGGCGACACGCGCGTGACAGGAGAGGGTGCTCTGGGGCGCCGAGGGGGGGGGGAGAGGGAGTGGGCGCCGAGGACACAGGTGACTGAGAGGCCGGGGCGGAGGGCAGGGGACGGGGGCTGCGGGTTTAAGCCGCCGCGGAAAATGCCTGAACACGGCGCGCGCGCCCCCCCTCCCCCCTGTGGTTTACCCAACCCCATCCTGTTGAAAGCATAAAGTTTGGCCCCGCAGTGTCTGCTTTTTTTCTCTGGGCACCGGGCTGCGGGGAGCCGGGAGAATGGGGATGCTGCAGAGCGGAGGATGAGCCCCCGGATGCGGGCGCACGCCGCCGGGGCGAGGAGCGGGGCCGCCCGGAGGCAGCGGGCGCGGCTCCCGGAGGCCAGTGTGGTACCTGGAGCCGGAGCGCCGGGCCGGCTCGTTTTGCATAACATGAAGGGGAGAGGGGTAAGGAGGGGGGGGGGGGGGGAGAAGACGGGGGGGGGCGGGGGCAGGAGGGCCGAGAGGGAAACTTTGCTTCTTGTTGTAATCCGCCTGTCTCTGGGCGGCCGCAGCTGTCATGGGACCGGGTGGGCGGGGAGAGGCTTGCAAGCTGACTCCCAGCCGGGGAGACGCGACTCGGAGGGGACGCAGCGGCGGAGAGGTCCACCGAGAGGCTCAGCTCCGGGCAGACTCCGGGAGGCGGCTCCGGGCCGGGCTGGCGGCCGGGATGGCGCGGCGTGGCCGGGTGTCGCCCCGAGGGAGCCCGCCGCCCGCCCGAGGAGGCCGCCCGGTCCCCTGCAGACGCCCAAGCGCCGGGGAGCCGCGGGGCCTCGTGGTCGGTGGCGGGTGCGCTGGGGTGGGCTCCGGTCGGGCCGAGGGGGGCTGGCGAGGCGGAGCGTGTGCGGAGCGGGTGTGTGTGTTTGTGTGCACGCGGGTGTGTGTGTGTGCGTGCGTGTGTGTGTGTGTGTGTGTGTGCACACGCCGCACGCACACCTTCCCTCCGGCGGAACCGCAGTGGAGGGAGCTTTGGTCTCGGCCAACGGCGCCGTCACGCCCGCCCGGAGCGCAGAGCCGGGTCTTCGCGGACTGCAGGTGCCGGTCCCAGCACCGCCACCGCCGCGACTCCCCTGGCCTCTCACCCCCAGCGGATCGCTGGGGACCAGGGGGACTGAGGTGCGGGCGGGACGGAGCCGCCCCTGGGAAAGTCCTGCCCTCCGCTGCCGTCGCCCGTGTCTGGGAGTGTTTCCAAGCTTCTGGACTCAGACGCGGGTGAAGGAAGCCTGAAATAGCCGGAGACTTGTTCAGGGGCCCAGAGCAAGAACTGACCGTTTTGGACCCGACTCCAGGTTTTAACTCCCCGTCTTCAGTGTGCTTTGGGTCACCCATAATTCATTATTTGCCCCGTGAGCCGCCCAGAGAGGGCCTATCCAGGTTAGGGATATTTCACCCAAGGAGACCAGAAAATTGGGTAATCAGGTGTCAGCAAGTTAATCAGAAAGTTAATCTGGGACATTCGCTTTTTTTTTTTTTATTGAACCACGTGACAGGCTGAGGATCTTCTGGCGATCCTTTGCCGGCCCAACTTGGGAAGTGTAATTGATAGGGAGAGCTTTGCAGCCGTCCCTAGAAGGCTTAGGAAGCTCAGCGTAAGAGGACGTGGGGGCGGGCCGTCGCCAGCCTCCTCATTTTACAGTTGGGGATAGAGAGGCTGTGAGGAGCGAGCCACTTGTGCAGGACCATGCAGCCAGGGGGTGGACAGAGCCACCCAGGGCTCCTGACTCCAGGTCCTGTGTGTTACCTCGAAATAGCACTGGACTTGGAGTCAGAAGGCCTGAGTGGAGTCGCCTTCCCCGCTCTCTGGCTGGGTGACCCTGGAGCAAGCCCTTTTCACGCTGGGAGCCTCCTTTTCTCCATCTGTCAAATGGGGCTGCTGGTGTGTCGGTAAGAGAAGTGAAGGCTGCTGGGTGGTGGGGGTGGGCATTCCTTGTATGTGAGATGTCTGGTTTCTGCCCTTCTGTCTCATCCCCAGACCCTTCCTCTCTGTCCTCTTCTCCCCTTGGAAGGGGTGGGGTAAGTGAAGGCAAAGGGGATATACCTGTTTGTATCCAAAAGACTTAAGGGGCCTTTGATGGCTAATCCAGGCTTAGGCAGAGGGAAGAGTTCTGTTTAGGGAGGCAGCTTGTACTCATTCGGGCCAAAGTTCAGAAATCCAGCAGGCCGAGGATTGTGAAAGCTTCTTGGAAAGGTTTGGCACATGTATTCCAAAAGGACTTTGGGTTGGCTTCACCTTTGCCCAGGCTGTGCCCCTTGCCTGCAATGCCCTCATCCACCCACCCGCCCAACCCTGCATGGCTCCTTCTCGCAGGCCTTCCCCGCCTGGCTTGCCCTGCTTTCTTTCTCTTTCCTCTGTGTCTTCTTAGTTTGTGTTATAACCACCAGGCTCTTTGTGTGTGAGTCCTGGGTCCCAGTGAGATCCCAGAGCTAGAGTTGTGCCTTTCGTCTCTTTGTGTCCCCGTGGCACCTGTCACTGTGCTGAGTTCCTGTGCTCAGCTCTTGGCGAGGGACATGGATTTCAGGGGAAGCTCCCAGGCTGGCCGGGGAGACAGCTGGGCAGCGAGTATGAAGAGAGAGGAATGCAGAGGGCTGCAGCTGTGGGCAAGGACTTAGGCCCCAAAGGCCATACCGTAAGCCCACACTAAATATGGGTTGTTTGAAGTCACTTGGGACGTCAATCATATATGTCCGAAATGTCAGCTTTGGCAGGAACTTTATATGGCCCAACCCCTTATCATTGGAAAATATTTAATTGTAGAATTTGTAGAAAATACTGGCAAGCATAGAGAAAGAGATTGAAAACATGTCATCTTACCCAAAGAGAACCACTGTTATTTTGAATGTATACTTCCAGACTTTTTTCTTTCCTCTTGATTCCTATTGATGATATCATTGTAGAAAAATGGAGTCATTCTTTTATATACTAATTGTAACTCGGAATCACACTGTCATAACTTGCTTTCCCTCCCCCACTTCCAAACAATATACTGAGATTACCTTTCCTCAATAATAAATATCCTACTTAATATTGTAATATCTTAATGGTTATATAGTATTTCTTTGAGGATTGAACCAAAATGTATTTAGTCAGTCCTTTATTGTTAGTCATTTAAGCTGTTCTTATGTTTTTGCTATTGTAAGCCATGCTGAAATGAATGTCTTTGCATATGTCTTCTTTCCTTCTTTTAAATTCGTAGAAGTGAAATTACTCTGTCAAAGGAACTATGCAGGCGTTTGGTAAACACATTTTCTGGATTGCTTTCTAGAAAGATTGTGCTGATTTACACACGTACCAACATTGTGTGGGAATGCCTGGTTCACCATTCCCAGATAACTCTTGGTGTTTTCATTTTAACCAGTCTGTTTATCAATAAATTCTCTGTCACCCTTACTGTTTTAATGTGTGTGTTTTTTTTTGATTACTTGTGATGCTCAACCTTTCCCCCATATGATTATGGATAATTTATGGTTCTGTTCTGTAAAATGCTGTGTTTGTAAAAATTTGGCCTTTTTCAATGGGTCTCCTCTCCCCTCCTTGTTCTGAAACTGGACTGGAGCTCCTAGAACGCGCCCACCACATCCCCAACCACATGGAGCATTGAAAAAATGGGTTGACGTCCTAGTGTTCACTTTCGAGGTCTGGGATAGTTTCTTTTCCAAGTCCAAGTTCTAGCCTAGCTACCTGTAGGACCAAGTTGATGTGGCAGCCTTTGCTGGGTGCCTTTGTCCACCCTTCACCTGTGAGATCAGCGGAGTAACTCCTTCACCTGAGCCCAGACCCCTCCTTTGCTGGCTTTATGAGAAGCCCAGAGGCTACTTTCCCTGGGGCTCTCTCACTGGTGCTAATGCTCAGGATGCCTATGAACCCAGGAAAGGCAATAGCCCAGCAACTGGGCCCCTGGGGGCTCATATTTCCCCTTCCCCTTGGGGCCATCCTCTCCCAGCGGGTGCAAGCCAGCCAGAAGCGCCCCCATTCCTAGGATGTGAGTCATCCATTTCCTTCTCTCTGGAATAAGAGGATACTGCTGTGGGTCAGAAGCAGCCTTGCAGATGGGGGCCTGGGCTTGGAAGTTAGGCCATAGCAAGAGCATTGCAGGGAACACTTCATCACTATCATCATCCGCAGCGACATCTATTGAGCATCCTCTGGATGTGGGACTTTCAATGTGCATCATTAGGCTTCATTCTCATAAAGATTCCACAAAGAGTAGGTGCTATATCCCCATTAAATGGGGGAGGATTGTGGTCTCAGAGAACTCACTGTCCAGTGGATGACCCTCCACCTACACTACCTGTAGAGTAAGTAGAAGAAGCAGGATCCATGGGTGAGGTTTCCAGACTGCTTAATTCCAAGCTCTGTGAAGATAGGGACAGCTTTCTATTTCTGTCTTCATTGCATTTCCAACGCCTTGAGCAAATGGAGGCACAGTGTGTAGAGTGAAGACAGAACTCAGAAATCTGAGTTCTCTAGGCCTCAGTTTCTCATTTTGTGAAATGTGGCTGATAGGCCCTAACTCTCAGGGCATTAGGTAATATATGTAAAATGAGCATCTGTCTGCTACTCAGAAAACTTGGCATTCTCTCTTTGAAGCACTTTAGAAGGGCAGCATCCAGAAAGAGCTAACTCCCATCCTCCAGTCTTTTTTTATTTTATTTTTTTATGTGTGTGTTGGTTTTAGAGAGAGAAAGGGAGAAGGAGAGAGAGATAGAAACATCCATGTGAGAGAAACATTGATCGCCTGCCTCCTGCATGCCTCCCACTGGGGATTGAGCCCACAACCTGGAAATTGAACCACTGACATCTTGGCGAATGAGTCCACGCTCAATCCACTGAGCAATCCCAGCCACCCCAGCTAGCCCATTCAATCTTTTTTTTATGTAAAAAATGGGAAGCATAATTCTTGTTATGCGAGGGTGAAGAAAACCCAAATAAAGTCATTTCGAAGATAATGAGCAGAGTTGTTTACTCTCTCTCCTCCAAGATAGCCAACACCTCGTATTCATCCTATGGACACTCAGTTGATGAAAGATCGCAGTTGATGGATTAAACTTCCTGTTCTTCTCCCCCTCTTCTGGTCTAGGTCCTTGCCCATTCATAAGTAGATTCCTGCAATTACTACCAAACAGATCTTGGCCACACTAGACTAGACTTTACGCTCTTCTACTTGTTCTTGACCCTGATGGTAGATCAGTTCTCTTAGAGTGCATGTCTGAAGCTCACACATCACCCATGGCTCCCAGTGCTTTTAAGTTAAATTAAATTAAATTAAATTAAATTAAATTAAATTAAAGTTTTTAAAGTAAACCTGATGTTCAAGGGCCTTCAGGTACTTGAAGTTTGGAGAGTTAGGCCCCCACCTTTATCCTCAGTTGTGTGCTTTCCCTTTGGGATCCTGGTCCACACAGGATTATGAATTTTCTTCCTGGAAGCCTCGGCTCAATCTCTTCTTTTCTGTGTGTCTGTCTCCATTCCCACCATTTCCATCATCCTGCAAGCCTCAGCTCCCAACCCGTTGTTTTGGCGACACCTTCTCGCTCACTTCCGGGCATAGCTGCATCCCATGTGCGGCAGCATGCACTCGCTTTGAAGTCAGCCTACCTGGGTTCTACACATTGTTGGTTGGGAGACCTTTAATGGGTCCTATAACCTCTCTGAGCATCTCTTTCCTCACCTGTAAAGGTAAAGATAAATATTATTTCCCTTATAAGGTTGTTGCAGCGAGTCAATGGACATCAGATGACAAAATGAATGTAAAGCACCTAACAATAATCCCCAAGTGA